CCCCCACCCGCTCTGCCTTTCATCTAGATAAACATGGAGGCTGCCAGCAGAAACAAGATAACTAACTCTCAGTTCCATGTAAAAAAAGCCAGCCCAGGGTGGCAGTAGCTCCAAGTGCTGCTGTAGGGAATACGTGGACTTGGTACCAGAAGTGTGCCATTAGCAGCCACGTCCACTTACTCCTAGACTGCCAGCTGTTTTGAGTGGTTGAGGTGACTGCATGTGTTACATTCTGCCTAAAGGAGAGAAGCCTAGAGCTTAGATGTCAGACAACCCTCCATCCAATTCCAATGCCTAGTGACTAGCTGTGTAATCTTTTTAGTCATCTAAAGCCTCAGTCTCCTTATCTGTTCGATGGGATTAACAATAATAATACCTCATAGAGTCATTGTAAAGATTGAGCTAATAGTGTAAAAGCTTAGCCAATGTTTGGCACATAGTAATATCTATTAACTTTCATTTTTATTACTGAAAGTCATTCACATTTATAAGGAGTAAATAATTGAACTATGCTAATGTTGATAAATTACTAAAATGTGAACTCCTGAAACATTTCTTCGTACTATCGCGTGGTGGCCTTGAAACTGCACTGCTCAGATCTCCTGCTGTAGGGAACATAACTGACTGACAGCCGGGACTGCTTCCTCCGGGATCCACTTCTGCTTCCGGCCAGGCTCCTCCTGGACAATGACTGGGTGCAGTGGGGCTACTCATGCAGGCCTGTTCCTTTAGGGTGTGGGACTCCTTTAACAGGTGACTCTGGCTCAAGGACCCCCGTCAGCCTGGTGGAAACTATCATAACTGCTGTGCTGCAGTGTGACACATTCCCTCCCCCACACCCCTGCTTCCTCTCCCCTTCACAGGGGCCAGACCTGCATTTCAGCCTGAGCCTCTCCCTGCCTTCTCCAGCTCACTCTCCGTTTCCTTCACTGGTAGACCCTCTGGTAAATATCTTTCTTGTCTTGGCATCTGCTCCTTGGAGGATCTGGACTTAAACAGTTACAATAGTTGTTGAAGGGAGTAACAATGTACACCTTTGAGCACAGAATAGATTTTTTTTTTATTCCATAAATATTTATTACACGTCTACCACATGTTAAGTATAATGCTGTGTCCTAGTGACAGACTGATGGACAATCCTAATTATTTGGTGCCTGTGTTTGAAGACAGGCCCCCTGTGTTAGTTATCTACTTCTACGTGACTAATTATGCCCAAACTTAGCTTAAAACACTGAACATTTATTATCTCATAGTTTCTGTGGGTCAGGAATTCAGGAGCATCTCAGCTGGATGGTTCTTTCTTTTTTTTTTAAATTATAGTTGAGAGAATAGATATTTTTTTCCATCAAGTATGAAGTGATCATTATTGTAATGAGTTTAACTTCGGTTTTTTTTTTGTTATTGCATTTCTTCAGAATTAAAATTTGGTGTTACTGATCATAAATTCTCTAAGATAGGCATTAACCACTGTTTCCTCAGGGAAGGCTACTCACACGTAGGCCCTCACACCGATTTACAGATTAAATTGTAAGGTTGTCTTTATTTTTAGGACAGTCGTCTATAGCTCCAGGTCTTTAATATGATGTTGTGAGTTGAGTCTTTAAAAGTCATGAGCAAAAACAAAAAAAACAAAAAAAAAACTGCAAAGAAAACTATTGATACCTCTTTATTGTTTATCTATTTTTTATAGTCTTCTGATTTATTTGTTTTGTTTTTATTTTCCTCTAAATCCTAACTTGATTATCATTTTTCTGACAGACCAGGTCCAGGGAACAGTCACCATCCGGAACATCAGCACTGTGTCTTCAGGTTTGTACCAGTGCATGGCTTCTAATGCCATTGGAACCAGCACCTGTCTTTTGGATCTCCAGGTTATTTCACGTAAGTACATCAAATTCTGATGCTCACTCTGAGTCTGAAACACCAAGATCTTTGTTAAACTGGAGAATGAAGAGTGCTGCTTACTTTTTTTTTTTTAGATTGGTTGAAGATTAAATTGAAATGCTTTTGGTTTTAATCATTATTGAAAAGTTTTTATAAGTGCATTATACTTTTCAACCTCAGCAATGTGACTTCTTCTTTATGACAAAATGTCTTTCTCCTTAGGATCATTAGAATCAAATAAATTATGATTGTATAGTGCTATAGACATCATAAAATTTGTAATGACCTATGGATGTCCAAGACTTGTATCTTCTCAAATCCCTGATACACTTTTTTTTTTATTTGCTTAATGGTTGGGTGCCCTGGTCATAAATAAGCAGTGTAGAATTTTTCTCTTTATTTGAGAATTCTGGGTTATCTGAATTCTAGTTGCAAAGGGAGTGATTTCGCTGGGATGAGGTGATAAGGTATCCCACTGGTTGCTGGGTTCATCAGGTAAGTTAGACAGGTACCATCTTTTTCCTGCTCTGCGCTGGGTATGGTTCTCCTGAAGCTGTGATTCGTGGAAGTATTCAGTCACTAAATAAATGTGAGCCTACTATGTGTTAGTCCTAGTCACGGGGCATACAGAAAGTTAGGGGAAGTTTAATCTTCTAAGAATGTAATACTTTAGGCAATTTTGTACATTTTAAGAAGATTCTTTAGTAAATTTACATGTTTATGAAGCTGCTTCTCTCTTTTTAATTTTGTTGTTCTTTAAATATACCTTAAATATATTTTGCAGCCCAGCCCAGGAGCATTGGACTAATAGCTGGAGCCATTGGCACTGGTGCAGTTATTGTCATTTTTTGCATTGCACTAATTTTAGGGGCATTCTTTTACTGGAGAAGCAAAAATAAAGAGGAGGAGGAGGAAGAAATTCCTAATGAAATAAGGTTTGTGTGTCAGATAATTTGTTCTGCTTAGCCCATGTTTGCCTTTCAAGTCATTTGGGCCACTAAGATTTCTTTGCTAGTCTTATGACTGTCATGGCCCAGGTAGTTAAAATGACTAAATGGTATTTTCTTGTATGGCATATCACTTTTCCTCATGGTACTAGTCGGCTTTCTTTACTGGACCATGAAATGGCAGTAGTAGGAGGACACAAGTGAAAAATGTCCCCTTCCCCTCCCATGTCTCTAGGCTAAGTGGGGCTAGGTGGCAGCCACAGGAGAAAAGTTAGATCGAACATGTGTTTAACATTGACACATATCATAGATGAGGACATAAAGCAAGAAGGAGTACCGGAAGAGCATACCAATACCTATGCATGGATAGGCCAAAACAGTATGGCTTGGTGTGAAAGACAGTTCTGTCAAGAATATGGACATCTTAGGAAAACAGTGTCAGAATGACCTTTAAAGAAAAGTGACTCTTGGCATACTGTGGCGATATGGAGTTTCAGGCTCAGTGTCAGATTGCATCGTGTCATATCCTTATTGAAAATACTTCAGTGACTCCAGTCTACTTAGCATTATGTCACAGCCCTTCAGGATCCGACCCTCAGCTGCCTCCCTGGTCTCACCTCACCACCTCCCTGATCACTTCGCGTTCCAGTCTATTCTTTATTCTCTCATGCCTCAGGGCCTTTGATCAAGCCTCCGCCCTCTTCCTGGACCGTACTCCTTCCCTTTTCATCCATCTCTTCAGTAGATGATTTGATCGGATTCAAGATTGGTCCAGGCATCACCTCCTCGCATAAGTTGACTTCAGCTTCTTGCCCATCCTTTCAGACTTGCACATGTTCTTGCATCAGTCACCCCCATTTGACCATGAACTTCTTGGGTATAGGAGCTACAACTTTTTTACATAAAACATTTAGCAGAATGCTTGGTACTCAATAAATGTTAAATTAATTAATTAACATCTTAGATTAATTACTTCTCTTAGCCTCTTGTAATGCTTAAGGGTTTGGACTGTATGCAGGAACAGATCTCGTTTTAGCATAAGATGACTGAGGAAAACCTCTTTCAGCACACCACATGGATTTCCCAAACCCCAGAATGCAATAAGATCGGGCAAACTCTAGCCATTTCTTGACGTTCCCCACACCCATAGCTTGGTTTCCTATCTGTTTTGCAGCAACTAGCTCAGTGGATTTCTTCATGGATTAGTTTCCTATTTAGAGCAAAATGTTATATTGGAAGACACAGTCTTTGAGAGATTTGAAATTACCTTTCTACTCTTGGAGCCAGAGAAGTTGAGGAAAATTTTCATGAGCATTGTCTCAAAGGGAGTGAATGTCAAAGCCAAGGCCACCAGGACTGCTGTTTTCTGTCATGATAGTGTGGCCTTTCCTGAGGAATTGTATTTCACAGACACAGTAGCCTTAACATAGAAGAAATTGACCTGGGCAGGAGGGTAGGGTGAACCTCAAGTAAATCCAAACGATAACTTTATTTTGTTCCTTTTCAGAGAGGACGATCTTCCACCTAAATGTTCCTCTTCTGCCAAAGCATTTCACACCGAGATATCCTCCTCAGAGAACAACACATTGACCTCTTCTAATACCTACAACAGTCGATACTGGAGCAACAATCCAAAAGTGCACAGAAACACGGAATCATTCAACCACTTTGGTGACTTGCGCCAGTCTTTCTCCCTGCACTCAGGCAATGCCAATATACCATCCGTCTACACTAACGGGAGCCATCTGGTCCCAGCTCCGCATAAGACTCTGGTAGTGACAGCCAACAGAGGGTCATCACCGCCGGTCGTGTCCAGGAGCAATGGCTCCGTCAGCAGGAAGCCTCGGCCTCCGCACACACACTCCTACACCATCAGCCAAGCAACCCTGGAGCGAATTGGTGCCGTCCCTGTCATGGTGCCAGCCCAGAGTCGGGCCGGGTCCCTCGTATAGGACGTGAGTGGATAGAGTGTTCCCAAAAGAATGAGTGGAATGCCCCATACAAGGGCGAGGGTGTGGTGGGCGAGTGCCGGGAAAGAAACACTTTCCTTATAACGATGCTAGTAAAAGCACAAAGAAGACGGCAAAGCGTGTGACCTGGCCACTAAGATTTGTGAAAAGAACCAGAATGTTCTATCGTGAAGACTTGGTTCCCCACCACACATGTCCCAGGATTCTATTCCATAAGCTGGATCTCAAAGATGTGCCAAGCCAAGGAGAAAGATAGAAGAGCAGGATAGCACTTAAAACCGAAACTGTGCTCCAGACGGGCTGGTTCTGTAATTCATGCCTAACTTAATAGTTTTTCAAGACACTAAAGTGCCAGATGGAGTTAAATAATGCAATTATTTTACAAGATAGGTGTCTTTAGAAATGTGATGAACAACCCGGGGATATCTTCTGCCTCTCCTGAGCATTCCTTCTTTCCTTAGAGGGCGAATGGCATGAGTGGTAAATACTGGTCCCAACAGGGCTGGCTCTTGTATCATAGAATCAAAACTTTTTACACAAACAAAATTCAGTAAGAAATGGGGGGGTGGGGGATGGAGACAAAAGAAATTCTTAGAGGAGCCCCTTCATATTTATTTATTTATCTCTTCCTGAACCATGAATTTCATATTTGGAATATTGCTATATTGACAGATTCTTGCCTGTCTGTGTTGTTCTAGGTTCTGCTACAGATCCATGACAGTTACTGTTCATTATTTCCTGGAAAAGTTTTTTTTTTTTTTACAAGAAAACTACTTGTTTTTTTTTTAAAAAATACATGAGAGGCATTGGACTAGGAAGGAAAAGACTTGTCAGCACCACATTCAGTGATTGTGTTTATTGAGCCCGGCAGGAGGTTGTCACAAAAGAGAGAGGTTGTGTGGGCAGCACAGGAGCAGGGAGGCAGGTGTAGGGCCGAGCATCCTGGCAGCCTCTCTGCAGGGCTGTCCAGCTCTCTCTCGCTATCACACTGGGTTACTCTTAATGAGGGCAGCACCTGATGCCTTTTGTACCAAGTGAGATAACTTTCTCCTTGTTTGACAAGTAGAGATTAGTAGATTGTTACAGGCAGGGCAAGAGTTCTTTTTTTTTTTTTTCCAAAATAATTATTTTTGCAAAAGAGATGAAGCTAAGACTAAAGGGATATCCTCAGATACGTTCCTGTGAGGGTCTGTCCTATATTTGTCAGATCTCAGGGTTGCAATTTTGCCCCAATGCATTTGACGCCACTGTAAAGATACCCTTTTGTGATTAGTTACCTGGTGTGGCTGGACTTGGGGTTCATCAGATAATTTACAAACTCCCCACTCTTTTTTGTGCTGTGTAGATCTGGCCATACTCGTATTGGTGACTATCTCGCCTTAATTACACTTTAAGCAGCATACAAATGATTTCTTTCCAGACTTTTTTCTAAATTATTTATGACACTCACCCTGTGATTCAATAAGAGCATCTTTTCTTTTCCCCATGTTGTCTCTCACTCCCTTTTCCCACTATGCTTTTTTGCCCTTTTTTTCCTGCAAGCATAGTCATCACAGGGAGTAGCTTCCTGATTTTCAGACTTATTTGAATAAATGGAACCCAACAGCTGCTGCATACACTATTTTTCCAAGAGGGCTAAGCTCAGCACTTAACCATTCCAATATTGATGAAAAGCTGAATTTACTTTAGAATTAATTATTTTTTCCATTTGATGGTTCTTGGCTTTGTAAACATTTAAATAAACGAATGTCTATACTTTTTAATAAAGAAAAGTGAAAATACCATGACACAGAGAAGATGAAACTTTCCGTTGTTGTTAGAAAGCGTTTATCTTGCATTTCTTTATTCTTTCTAATTATCTAAAATTTAATAAAAGTTTATTCATATAAAAACAAGTTGTTGTTAATTATCCTAATACTAATGAATATATGATTTGGTATTCCCCTTAATGTTTATAAGCATTTTCCATTCTGATAAGTAGTATTCATAATCATTTTAATGAGTGTATATTCCAAAAATTAATTAACTGTTTTCTGATGGTTAGAAATTTTAGTTGAGTCCAATTCTCATGTGTGAACTGAAGATATAATGAGCTTTTTCATACATTGAGCTATTTTTATATTTCATATTTTCATATTTCCTGCCTTTTTTACTCCTGAATCTCTAACACTTAGCACAGTGCCTAATATGGCTGGTGAGTAGAGAAATGACTAATGATTTATGAACTGAAGTTGTCAAGTTTTAGTTCAGAAAGTTATAATCATGATTTTAGCTGTTGATTTTATATATATATATATATGTATATATATATAAATTGTTTTAACGTTTTTGTTTTGCAATAATTATATGTTTACATGCAGTTGTAAGAAATAATATATTTCCATATACCCTTCACCTAGTTTCCCCCAATGGTAACATCTTGCAGAACTATTATAAAGTATCACAAATTCACAATCCATCAACCTTATTCATAGTTCAGCAGTTGCACATGCATTTGGGTGTGCGCATGCATACACATTTAGTTATGTGCAGTTTTATCACTTGTAGATTCGTGTGACCACCACCGCAGTCGAGATACAGGATTCCTTGTGTTTCCCTTTTATAGTTCCAGCCACCTCCCTCTTCTTCAAGTCTCTATTGCCTAACCTGTCCTCCATCTCTATAATTTTGTCATTTCAAAAATGCTATATAATAAATGGAATGCTGTAGTATGTAAGCTTTGAGGATTGGCTTTTTTTCCACCCAGCACAATTTCCTTCGATCCATCCAAGTTGTTGGACATAAATAGTTCACTCCTTGTTATTGCTGAGTTGTATTCCATGGTACAGATGTGCCACAGTTTGTTTAACCCTTTATCCGTTGATTTGAAGAATATTTGAGATGTTTCCAGTTTGGGGCTATTACAAATAAAGTTGCTGTGAACATTTTTGTAGTAGTTTTTGTGTGAGCATAAGTTTTCATTTCTCGGAGATAAATGCCTGAGTGTAGTTGCTCCAGCACCATTAGTTGAAAAGTCTGTTTTTCCTCCAGTGAATTACTTTTATGCCTTTGAAAAAAAATCTTTTAGGCAAATTTGTGTAGGTCACTTTCTGAATTCTCTTGCTGTTCCACTGATCTTTCTATCTATCCCTCCAACAATACTACGCTGACCACTGTGGCAATTTGACAAGCTTTAACACCTGGTAGAGTGGTTCCTCCCACCTCATTATTCTCTTTCAAAATGGTTTTAGCTATTCTAGTTCCTGTGTCTTTCTAGATAAACTTTAGAAGAAGATGGTCTATGCCTACAAAACACCTTGATGTTTTAATAGGAATTGCATTAAACCTGTAGATCAATTTTAAAAGAATTGGCATCTTTACTATTTTGAGTCTTCCAATCTATGAACATCATATCTCTCCATCCATGCATGTCTTCTTTGATTTATTTCATCAGCATTTTATAATTTTCAGGATGCAGATTCTATATATTTTTTGTTGGGTTTAACCCTAAATATTATTTTTTTGAAGCAATCATTAATGTTACTGTGTTTTAAATTTTGGTTTCTATATTCTAGGTTTTAGTAAATAGAAATGTAATTGAATTGTGTGTGTTGATTTTATATTCTGCATCCTGGCTGAACTCACTCACTTCTTGAGTTTCTGTTTTTGTTTTTGGATTTGTTTTATTGTAGATTCCTTGAGATTTTCTACATACATAATCATATCATCTGCAAATAGGGACAGTTTTATTTCTTCTTCTTCAACCT